GTCATGTAACGGCATCTCACTACCACATGAAAGGTTTACTGAAGTTACATTCAGAACCGGATCAAAATATAAACCATCACAAAAGTCAATGATGAAAAAATGGCACTATTAACAATCCAAGGGGCAGCTAAAGCAAATGCAGGAGATGTAAAATCCACAAAGAGTAAATACTCTCACGATACCTCATCATTCTTTTTCAAACGACATGGTGGAATAGGAATAGGAATCTTAGCAGGTGGGTGGTCACCTGAAATCAATATTGTTATATCCAAATATAAGGAAAGACATGACTAATTTGCATACGGAAGAAAAACCTTTATTAATGATATAGTCAAACGACCAGCAGAAGCAGAAGCTAGAAAAGTAACAGACAAATGTATGAATTGAATATTGATAATCACCATCAGCAGCAACAGGCCAATTCGGAGCCTTAGTTGGGGCATCCAAACGCTTCAAAACTGTTTCGTCAGCCTTCATCACACTTATTGAAAATCCTGAAAAGAAAGAAAGAATGAAAAAGGTGCCGTCTCATAAGAATAAGTTTGACATTGCGTGAACAAACCTGCCATATCAAGAGAGGTCATAAATGAACCAGTGTACACTCTCTCAACAGCCAATCCATGTTCCAGCTGCAGTCGAGGAACCGTCTTTCCAGCAGCAATCATCAGTTCCATAAGAGGAGTGGCCCCTAATCTACAATGCAAGCAATGATGGGGTAAAATCCAAATAAAATAGAGAACAAAAAAAAAAAAAAAAAAAAAAAAAAAAAAAAAAAAAAAAAAATAACAGAATAGGAACAATAATGTGTGCTACAGGAAGTACTTTGCAAAAATGAGAAAGCTCAATCCTTAATGCAAAGAGACATGTGTGATAGCTAAGGACATACCCGTTAATCATAAGTACAACTCTGCTGCCACGAGTTATCGGTACATAATTTGTTTCCTACAATCATGATAACCACAAGATGATGCCAGTCTATAATTAAACTGGAAAAAACGTACATTCACCAGACAAAGTCACCAAATACTACTGATAAGAATGTCGAAATTTCTAAAATGTAATTTTTTTTTTTTTCCTCCTGTGAAGAATGAATAAAACTAGGATTCTGCTAAAATGTAAGTCCATGCTTGTAGTGCAGTTAACATGTTCATTTGCAAAATGATAATAGCATAGAAAAGGGAGGCTGATTAAAATATGCAATAACTGAATAATGCTTTATATCGTGTATTCATGCATAAATGTTGTATTAATAATAATATTAATAATTAATATATTATTATTATAATTATAATTATTATTATCTTGTGTGCGTGATAACAGTTCTATCTTTGTCTCTCTTATCAGTTAGACTACAAATTTATGGCTAAAAAGGGCATGACTGGCTTCTTACAAGTAGACATCAATTATCATTAAACTTATTAAACAAAGCTAAAGTCTATGAATTAGTGGGTTACCTGTGACAATATTTGTTTCAAGACATGGGAAACCACGATGTCAACAGGTTGGATGTCGGTCACAGCTGCACCTGGTTCTCCATGCTGATATATCACATACATGCAGAAGGTAAAGATCACTCCAACTTGAGGCAAAAGTCATTAAGCAGCAATTTATCATTAAATTCCTTATATTACGGTAACTGCTGAGATTACTTCACTTGCAATAAAAGATCAAACCCTATACTTCCACAGAGAACATTTTTTCAACAAACAAAGACCTACTGGGAAGTTAAAGTGTTCAGAAACGCAACTTTCTAAGTCACAATCGAACTGCTTTAATTTAAATCAACACAACTATAACTCACAATTCCAAGGCCAAGCTCCATCTTGCCAGGGCCTAGACGATCTGAAGGCACTTGACCAGGGATCGAGCAAACAGATAGTGCAACACCCATTGTGCCTACCATTTCTGATGCTCGTTTGGCTTCAGCAGCAACTTCTTCTAAAGGGAGGCCGGCAGCAGCTGCAGCCCCAGCAACCTGTGGTCCCAATAAGACTTCAGATCAAAACACAAGCAAAAGTTTAAACAAATTTGCTGCGGGCATGAACCAATGTGGCCATCATAAATTAGAATTTAAAAATTGCCAAAAAAAAAACAAAAACAAGAACAATATCAGTTCCAACTCTTCTGAAATGAATAGTTGATAGAAAAAAAGGTACATAAAGAGAGAACCATGTAAGTCAGATGATAGTCCTTGAAGGATATTTCAAACAGCTTATGACATCGCACCATTTGACAGGCAAATAATTTCCATTCTGAAATTTTTATTTAGTAGCTTCGATTACATAAATATTTAACAATGTATATAATTTGCATAATTTATGTAACTCGTTAGCGAATATAGGTATATAATGATGCGATTGAAAGTAATTAAGAACCCTTGGTTCAACTACTTTTCATACTCTTCATTAGAATTTCGCTCCTGAAGTCCCGATTACATGAAACCAACAGGAGAAGATATATATTTCACTTCTATATAATGTAAGATTTTCCTTAAAGCGTAATGACAATATCAAGAAAAAGTCAAGTTGCATGTGTATAGTGAAGAAAAAATAAACCTTAATCACTGCTTCCATAACATATGGATGCAGACACTTCTGGTTATAGCAAAAATCTTAATGCAGTAGAACAGAGAGAGTAGCTATATAATGAGGGAAAAGTCAAAAGAAGTCAATCAGGAATTCAGGATGAAGGAACAGTGAAAAAGTTAAAGGTAAAAACTGCAATTATACACTACTCACAAGGTTCAGAAGCACAAGAACAATAGAGGGAAGAGATATATCAACCTTATGAACAAGAATGGTTCCAGCCAAACCTCTTCGTCCAGCTATACCTCTTGGAGGTGGTAAAGCACAGTCATCACCAACAATCACCATCTGTGAAACAGAAACCCTCATACTCGCATGACAGTGAATTTTTAAACTTGAGATGAAGCCATTCATCTAAAGACAGAAAGGCATACCTCCACTTTAAAACCTTCAGATTTAGCCAGCTCAGCTGCCAAACCAAAATTTAAGCGGTCGCCTGTGTAATTCTGTCACAAAGCAAGACAAGGTGTCGCAAGAAATTCACTAGCAAATTTTGTAATATTTAATAGTAGACATTTACAGAGTACAAGAAGGCCGGTTCCCTAAATCCTGAAAGTAGTATATATTTGTGCCCGACCTCACACAAGGTCACAGACTTAGAATGACATCTAACAATGATATCTAACAGTATTAACTCATACATAAACTTAAATAATCCTTACAAAATAGTACATTAGAAAGAAGAAGAAAGAACAGGGACAGGTAGTTTGGCCAACTGGAAAATGACCTGATCGGGACTAAGTTTTCCATCACACCGGCCAGCATGGCCTTGTTGGCCAAGACGGATTAACATAAGCAGTAAGAGAAACAGCTTGAAATATAAATATTCAAAATAGCTTTAATGATTGTAAAATAGTAGGCACAGCTAGAGAATAAAATAAGTACATCATAACAACAAATTCATTCATATGAGAGGTGAAATCAATTCATCAAAATCACAGTTGAATATACCTTGACAATCAGCAGGCACCCCGAAGGACCAGTAACTGCTCGTATACCCTGACACAAAAGTTTAGCAAATGATCATCTAAAAAAAATTGTATTGTTGCTGATTTATATCAAGGAGAAGTTCACATACTGCAAGAATGGAGTCAACGGGAGGAGAGGCAAAAATATCACCACATATTGCTGCTGTCAGCATTCCTTCTCCAACAAATCCAGCATGAGCCGGCTCATGACCACTTCCCCCTCCTGCATGTTATGAAAGCTACGGAATGCATTCAATAGTAACATTTTAACATAAAAGCTAAACTTGGTCTTTAGCTACATCAGAAGAATATAAGCCAGTGGAGCCAAGAGATAAAGTGTTCAACACCTTCGACTATCAATCAGAAGTTCACTTCAAGATTGTAACGTCTGAGATATACTTAAGTACCAAAATTCAGGACCGACAACTATATCCTCTAATGCTGTTTGGAAAACTGAGTTCAAATATTTTAAGATAAGATTACAATTAGATTACACGATTAATAGAAAGAAAACGACAACTTTATATGCATAGTGCATTGACTCATGCAGCAGCTGCTAATAATAACCACATGTTTTTATACACATACTAAAACGGCCGAAAAAGGGACACAAGTATGGCCCACATCATCTGCAACGTGTAATGTTATTAATCGAGCACAAAATTGAACAAACTTAACAGCAGTTTATGACGTCTCAGACCTGATATAACGGCCACTTTGTCATATGTGCCGCCAGAAACATCAGCAAGTAAAACAACTTTTACCTACATTCAAAGGCCATGCATTAGAAGGAGACAACGTGCGTTAAACGACAAAGGTTTAAGCTCAATAAAGGCCAAAAAAAAATTGATCATATAATTATTACATCAGGAAAGCCATCCAAATACTGCAAACCAGGATAGGTTTCCACTAGCCCTTCAATGAACTCTGTCACAACATCTGTAACCAAAAAAGGACACAAATCTAATCCAGCACTCATACATATATGTAAAGCAGGGCATATGATTTGGAAATTTTTTAATAACATGCAAATCTCATGATTATTCCAATGATGGTGCAAAACATAAAATCTTATACGTGCAAGCAATTAAAATAGTTCCATCCATAATTGGGAAATAAACAGAGAAGTTATGATTATCTACAGAAACAGCCTGAAACTTGGCTGTAGTTATCATCCTCATAAAGCATCATATATCTCTTAAGATCACAATGCAGGACCCTTAAAGGAGAAGTTACTCTGTTCAACAGCATGGTACAACTCTTACAGCACAATGTACACTCCTTACACCACAAACGTACAACATATCATTCATTCAACAACACACTCTCTACAGTTAATCTCTTATTTGAAATTAAAACCATAAAAAAAGTAAAAGAACAAAAAGATCAATAAAGAAAGAAGGAAAGAAATTGAAAGAAACACACACACTACACAGAACCCATTGCGATTTTCGTACAGAAAACACAAGGTAGAGCAAAAAATCTACATATTCTCCTTTGCATGATAACTTGTGAAGCCAAAAAAAACAAACAAAAATGGCGGAATACTCCATAACTAATGCATGCATCAAATGTGCAGACACCCAAAGCTTCCACCAAAAAATGTGGAAAAAAAAAAATCCAGCAACAAATCAAGAAAACAAAAATGTAGAAGAAGAAGATGAAATTGATGGTAAAAAAACAAAATCAAAACGCAAAAATGAAGCCCAAAAAAGGAAACAACAGCTGAGAGTGAAGGAACAATTGTAAACCGTTTGGATTGTTAATAAGCTTCTTGCTCTGATAATTCATGGCGGAAAATGCGAGTGAAGCTCGAGTGATCCCAAATGCTTCGGATTAGAAAAACCCCCCTTTTTGGTGAGAGAAATTTTTGATGAGGGTTAGGAAATTTTTGGAGGAAAAATGGCTTCTATATAAAGTCACCTGAAATGTTGAATAATTGTTGATTAGTTTTAGCTTTGCTTGTCCGGACAATCAAATTATTAATATTTCAATAAATAAATCTCCCAAATAATCAATATTTGTAGAGTATAGTTTAGAAAAATAAAATTATTATACATTTAAATAAAGTTAGGAAGCAAAAAAAAAAATCAGATAATATTATTTAAAAAGGGTAGATGAATATATGTAAAAGTATTTATGTCAACTGAAAAAAAAAAAAAAAAAGAGTTTAATTGCAATTATCGTAAATTTTGAGTCAGAATATTGAAAATGTAGTATAATTATAACGAGATGAATTACGAGTCAAAATACTTAAATTTGGTACGCATAGCTGATTAAATATTATTAAATTAGGTTGTATTAATGAGTTCGAGATAGTATCGTGTATTTGGATTGTGTTATTTACATCTAAGACGACTTTTAAATTGTGCATTTTCAGACCGACAAACTATGATCTCGTAATTTGTATGAGCCGATAAAATTGGTAATCGAGCTATTAAACAATGTAATGGTAAAAAAAAATATATAATTATCCCATATTTTATTTTTATACAATTTAATAGCATGGTTAACATTACTTTTATTTTATTTTTAAATGCATTCAAAGTATAATATTGCAATTCGTGATTATAATATTTAGTGAGCCGATCTATTAGATGGTGCTTGGAAGATAATAACTTCTTGAAAACAATAAATGGTGATTATTGGCTCACAAAATTTATTTGGTATTTTTTTTATTTAATTAAAGCTTCTAAAATTAAAAAATAAGTTCTCCCATTATAAGCTTTAAAAAAAAGAGGACCATTAATCCACCTGATGTTATTAGGTAGTCCTTTGATCGATTTGTTGTATTTTTTTAGTAAAATTAATATTTAAACTATTTATTCCCATAATTTTATTTATTTTGTATTTTAAGTTTTATATTTTACTATAAAAATATATATTTTATTAAAATTATAAGAGCATCCACAATGCTTTGGGTCTCTTTTTGTATATGTGGCAAATAAATAGACTTAAGTCCATAATGACATGGACAAACCCAAGCTAAAAAATTCAAAAGCTATCCAATGCAAAACAAAAAAAGTATTAGGTCTAGAATATTAAACAACCAATAAAAATATAGTATTAATAAATGCATACAAAAAAAAAAATGTGTTTTGCCTATTAAAAAGAAAAAAAAAATTGAACAATTATTACTAGGTGGGTTTGCACTTGGGTCCAAAATAGACTCAAGTGTGGACTTAGTCTCTTTTTTTCTAGTGCCATATAAGTTAGACTAGGTCTACTTTTAATTGCATTGTGAAATATTTTTTTTTATAGATTAGGTCTATTTCCTGCATGGCAAATAACCAAAACATTGTGGGTGCTCTAATCGATTAAAGGCTAGAGCAATCTAACATGAGCCTTATGCATTTCACCGGTTCACCCTCTTTGTGCATCATGTACTTTATTTTAAACTCGAATCTATATTTGTATCTGTATATATATAATTGTTATCAAGTCATTAAATAAAACCTAATAAATAAAACTTCATAAATTTTACCTATGTGACAAACCATTAAATTTAACTTAATAAATTTTACCTCTGTGGCATTAATCCAACCCTATCCTATTATTGATAAAATATTTCATTACACTTTTTTTTGGGTTAATTAAGACAAAAATCGTTACATTTTATATTAATTGAGTAATAAACTTGAATTTTATTTTACACTAAATGATGTGTAAAAGTTACATAAACATAAAAGATTATAGTGCAAAAAAACTTTTTGTTCAAGTTATTTATTCTAAAATCAATATTATATTTATTTGTCTAGTTAAGCAATTATTTTTTAAATAAATTAATTTTTTTTAATGTCATAGTAAATTTTTTTAAAATCGTATAAGCTATTGTTATATTTTTTAGCTAATTAATTTATTACGATCCCTCAAAATTACAAAAATTACATTATTTATTACATTTTATGTAATCAATATAGTGATTCGTATGCAATAAAATCATTATGTATGATTTATTTTAACCAATGCTCAAATTTTAAAACATAATACTATTATCTAACTTATAATTTTAATATTATACACATAATTATAACTTATAATACTCTATGTTTAAAATATAATACTAGTATCTAACTTGTAATTTTAATATTATATGCATACACATTTATAATATTTATTATCTATGTACAAATGCACATGGTCGAATACTAGTATTTATATAATTGCTAGCAAAATAATTAATAAAAATATTTTGGTTTGCCTCTAATTTCGGTTACACAAGCCTATCATTTATATTTTTTTTTTCTTTTCACTTTATTACACTTTATTTTAATGTTACAACAACCAATAATATTCAACTTTTGTATATAATATGATTTCTAGTCTTCTTACATAATGTTGGTTACTTGTGTTTTCTCATCCACTTAATTATATTTTATTTTTATTTTACTTTTTTACTTTTGATTTGAAATCATATATTAGCTAATTTAATCTGACTGATTTAGTTTAATAAAGTTTTATTTTTTACTTTTGAACTTTTCTATGTTACGAAAATGTGTAATAGAGTTATACAGATAATATTTTATTACAGACAAAATACAAAATCAATCAATAACAAATAACTAAATCTCCAGTTATCTTTTCCAATAGAAAATGTGCTCAGGTGTCGTAACAATAATAGTTTTTGTTTTTCCGCTCTGTTCAATTATATTTTGCATTAAAAAAAATTATACTGTTATTTAGTTTATTACATAGTTGCTACTACTAACTAATCATAAAGTCATGACATTAACTGATATTTATTCTATTTTTTTTTCAAATTATTTATTAAAAATATTATGTACTCTTTTTATCTCATTAGACAAGTTTTTTTTATAATAAATAGTAAATTATTTTTATGGCATAACCAAACTGATAAAATTTTGTACACAACTGCTATAATAATAATTTGATTTTTTCATCCAATTAATTGGTCATAATTAGTCAAGCTTGCACAAAATCGTATTATTGCGATCAATATAAAGATTAATATGCAAGTTAAATAGTCTATATTTACATCATTCGTTTTTACTAATTCACTAACGATAAACTGTAAAATGTGATACGCTTATTACGTAACTTATATGATTTTAAATACTACATACACACACATGTAACATATAAAATTTTATTTGCATCTGTACATACGCACATGATCGAATACTACCAGAAATTCATCTTTCACACTCACCCATTAATTACTAATACAAATTTGCAGTTTTTGCCCAATGGGAGGGACAATTATTCCCCAAATTTGAAATAAATACAAGCCAGTGTTACAATCAATGGCCAGCTTCGAACCTGGACCAAATCCTCGACAAAAGATTCCTAAACAATTGAATTGCATTAATTTTTAGTAGAATTGTGTCAATTTTGTATTTGCAAACTCATATTCGTAAAACCTGTCCAGCTGTATACAAACTCAACTCTCCAGATTTTACTAATTACAACTAAAAAGATGTGCATATATTGGCATATAAACTCATAAATACACACCAGCTAAGACCAAAACTGAACAAAACCAATTGTGCAGCTATATTCTAACTCAATCCTTAAATTTTAATAATTACTGTTATTATGTAACATAAACTAGTATTTTGGCTGTTAATAAGTTGGGTAAGCATTTATTTAGTTAGCATCATTGCTCTATATCAATTTCATTATTCTACTACTACGCCACTCACTCGTGCGGCACGGCTTCATAATAAAAAGGGATGTAAACAAATTATAATTTGATAAAAAAAAAATTAAAAAACATCTATTGAGATGATGTAGAATATTTTTTATATACAGTTAAAATACTGCGACAAATATAACATTAATAGTAGATAAAGTGTGTTCATTATCACCAACAGTAATAACAATAATTCGACCAGATGGATTCGTGACTCTGGATTCTGGAACCAATAACAACATATAATTGTATGTTGCTAAAAAAATACAATATATTTTTTTTCCTTAAAATTTTAAAATTAAGCTTACAAAAATATGTCATATACTATGAAAAAATTTATTTGGCACATTAATGACACTCCTTCAAAAAATTTCATTAAAATGTCTACGTGATAACATAATTTTCATAGTTCTCATAAAAATAAAGTCATAATTACTATTCTACTAATAAACTAATATAGGAATAATTAAAATTATCATGTACGAAGATGAGCAAATTAAAATTTATAAATATAAATTAAGTACCTAAGAAAAATTAAAAATGACCCAATTTCAATCCGCATGTATTTAGTTTTAAATTATGTTCACATATTTTTTACTTTTTTATTAACAAAATACATATCAACATTTCATTTTTTTGCAAAATAAGTGCGATGGAGATTAGAGAATGACATGAAAGATAGATTATTTTTCGTAAAGTTATAAATAGACCCACTAATCATTATTGTTCAAGCCAATATTAAAATACTTACTTTTTGTATGAAATCCATGAAAATTGTAATTCAATGTAATGCTTATTCGTGCATAAAATCAATGAGAAATTATAATCTCATGTAATTTTCATAAACGCACATTGACAAAATTTTTGTAAAGTGATATGAAAAAGACATTTAAATTATATTATATAAAGTCTAAAAAAATTATAAAACTAAGATTATGATATATGATAAGGAAAAAAATAGTTGATGCATTATAATAAGTTGTGTTTAACTTTATCTACTGCAACATTTAGTTGCCATAATATTCTCTCATCAATCTCTTATGAAAAAAAAAAAAAATTTGTTACATGAACAAAAATTAAACTTGACACATTATGCTATTTTTATTTAAAAAAGTTGTAGCTAATAAGTGTGTATTTA